CAAAGTGCTCTCAGTCAGGTTTTTCCCCTCCACATTTTTGGTCACTTTTGATAAGTTTGCATGGAACCATTTTGGTGCATTTTTAGTTGGGAATGGTACATTTTTGTAAACCCACCCAGTGAACATGAAATTGTACATTGTGTATAATTGTTCATTAGAAAGGACAGTTTTACATGAATATTCATATATTTATTTTGTTTTAATTTGAATTGCCTGTGCAGGGTTCCTTATGCAGAGAAATAAAGCCGATGCAGGAACAGAGCGTGGGCTGCTTTTGTTACCTCTAGTGGAGCCTCTGACTGAGAAGGAACAGTCTCCGGGGCTGGTCTCTCTCTGACAGTGTTTTGACCCATCAGAACATTTCTCACCGAGAGGGAGCTTTGCTTGGAGATGACAGAGCAGCCGCTGGAGTGGGAAGCCCCTACTTTCATTTATTCTGTCATCCTGGGTGCCTTACTTTGTCCCCTCACGCCAGGGCCCCTGTGTCAGCCCCTTGGCCTGACCTCTCAGCAACCCCTTTCCAACTCTGAAGCCAGTCTGAGTGTAACATGCTAACAAGAGCCTCTCCAGAACACTCCAGGGGGAGCCGCTCTCCTAGGCGAGGAGGAAGCTGACGAGTAACATGACTTAATCCTACCTGCAAGGAGCAAGTGGGGCTCAGATGGGGGCTTAGAGAGCGGGGCAGTGTACGTCACGCGGAGGACCGCCGTTGCTGGGAAGCACTGCGCGCACATGCATGAGTGACCACGGGAACGAGCGGGTGAATGTGTGAGTTCATATGAGACCCAGCGAGTGGCTCTCATAGCCTTGAATGGTGGATGGTGGGGAGTTGTGCACAGGCTGAGGAAGGGGTTACACTTACTGAGCGGGTAGTTCTGGGAGAGGGGCCATCGCAAGAGCAGCTGTGAAGGCTGGCCGCCGACAGTGGAACAGGAAGAGGGCGAGGCCTTTGAGTGGTTTGTCTTCATCTACAGCAAGTTCATGCCACAAGCTGCTGCGCTACTTCATGGTCTAGGGATAGTCCACACAAGTGAGGTGCCAGGTAGAGAGCTCTGCAGGCACTTGTTTTTCACAAGAAAGATGGAAAGTGTTTTCGAAGAGAAATTAGAAGAAAGATACAGTTTTGTGGTACACAGATCTTTCCCAGTGACAGTACTTCGAATGACGACATGTTAGTTTTATTGAAGACAGGCTTCCATTGGAATTGGGACTCAGAGGCAGTAACTACAGCTTCTGGAAAGCCACAGAGGTTCTGGGCAAAGACGAACCTTTAATACTTGATGTGAGAGCTCAGTGAGTAGGAGCAGGAGCAGTGAAGGCCTCTGGGCTTGAAGCACTCAGCCCACCTCAAGTGCGCGGGAAGCCACTGCCCAGGCCTCTGGGCCAGGAGGGAACTGAGAGGTGAGAGGCCTTCGGGTGTTGCTGAGGACCCGGACGATGCCAGGAGACGGGTCTCTTAGAGCCTTCTGGGCTGCTTCCTGGTAACAAGTGGCTCTTGCCTCTCGCTGAGCTGGGCTGAGTGGGCCGAGCTGAAGCCTACATCTGCAGTCTCAGAGTTTATTTTAAATAAAAATAACGCCACAACCTTTGAAAGGCTTTGGCCTTTGCTGCCACATTTGACTCTGGACTGTGGGGCAAAGGTACCCTCAGCAGGCTGATGCTCATGGTGCCAGGCCCCACCTGTCAGGCCTCCTGAATCGCTTTTCAAGAGGTCTGACCCTGCAAGGACAATCTGTACAGACACCTTGATTTCATAACAGATGCCATTTCTATGCTGGAAACCTTTTTTTTTTTTTTTCATTTGCTGATTTTTAGAAGCCATGGGAGACACAGGAAGGTAGGAGTCTCTGGTCTGAGGTGCTGAAGTGGGCCTGGCACAGGTGTTGATTTTCCCAAGTTCACTTTCAGGCTTGGGCAGTTCTTTTGTTTGCTGGATTCATTCAGTTAAATACTTGCAGTTTTTATGACCCTGACGTAGTCTCCAGAGAACTTGGGCCCCCAGCCTTTAAAATTTAAGATTTCCCCAGAGGCCCTTCAAGGTGCACCTTTGTTCTGGGCCTCCCAGCTCTGTGGCCCTTACCTGGCTCTGCCAGTCAGATGTGGTGAACTTGAATTTTAGCAAAAAAGACAAGTCTTGGGCATTGGATCCTACGGCTGGAGGAATCCTGGAACTAAAGGGTCAGGTGATGTCTCCTTCCACAGATCACCAACCTGAGGTCTGGAGAGGGAAAGTGCTAGATCACAAGAGTGTACAGGCTAGAGCTGGGAGCGCCGGCTTCCTGTGAGCACACAGTTCCCTCCAGACAGCCCACCTGTGCAGAATTGGGCCCGTGTGTCCCTGTAAGGCAAGCCTCGCAGCGCCACCTCCTCCCAGGAAGCTCCCCCTGCCAAGGCCAACACCGTGCGGTGACTGGCATCAGCCTTCCACCAGGGAGCAGTGTCCTGCCCCAGTGCCCGTGCCAAGGCTCTGTGCCCTCCCCCTAGCTTTTCCTCCGTGGAGCCATTGGCTGCCTTGGCCAAAATGGAGTGAAGAGCGCATTCAGGAGCTGGAGAAAGTTTGTAGTCTGTTCTAATGGAAGCTGTGAGGACACGGGTAACCTCGACAAGTCATTTTCGTGGCTTTGCAACACTGGGCGCCTAGCTCCCCGGGCGCATGTGGGGGTGCCTTGGGCTTTCTGGCTCTGCCCTTGCTGAACTGTGCCTGCTGATGGAACACAGACCCTGTGGGAGCTGGGGTCAGTCTTCAAGCTCGGCTCAAAGGCTCTGTTCTCCCTCCGGTGTTCCTGGATCACCCCCATATAGACCCAGCTTGCTTCTTCCTGTGCCCAGGCCTTGTGGGTTCTGCCAGGCACTTGGCTTTTCCAGGCCCCCACAGATGTGAGGACAACTTTCCCTACCCCAGCCCTCCAGGCAACTGCGCATTTAGACCTGATCTCATCAGAGTGTCAGAGAGGGTGCTGGTCCTATTTTAGAGATAAACAGGCTCTGAGAGGTCCTAAGTTGTCAGAAGTGATGGATGGCAGAACACTCAACACTCCCTTCAACCCCAGATGATTGAGTCTGTGGATTAATTAGGCATGTGATGCCCCTTGTTCTATGCAAACCTGAGAGATCTTGAGCATTGTTACTGATCAAGCAGGGGACTGTGTTCTGTCAAGGGCTTTGCTCAGTGCCCAGTGATGTGAACAGCACCTGTTAGAAGGCAGAGCGGAGAGCCATCTCATCAGTGCCTGACCTCCGGGTGTACCTCAGATGGCCCTCGGCTCAGGGACCCCAAGCTCCGTGGAGGGGGTGGGGCCCAATTCAAGCAGAGAAACAGTGTTGGACACAGCTGTCAGGCTATCAGTTCTGTGATCAGTACAGCCTCAGTCTGTGAGGGTTTACTCAGCACCAGAGGCTTAGCCAGGGAATTTAACCCTCATTTATAAAATAGCTTCCATGGGGAAAGGGGAAAAGGGCCTCAGGTTACCCTATTCCCGCTGAACTTGCAGTGACTTCTGCTTTACAAACATGTCTTAATCCTTAGAAGAACCCTGCAAGCAAGATTCTCTAGCAATCCCAATCCACAGATTAAAAGGCTGAGGTCCAGAGGCACCTGCCTGGCTCAGTCAGTTAAGCATCCGACTCTTGATTTCAGCTCAGGTCATGATCTCACAGTTTATGAGACTGAGCCCCGAGGAGGACTCTGCCAACAGCACAGAGCCTGGGTGGGATTCTCTCTCTCTCTCTCTCTCTCTCTCTGCCCCTCCCTCGCTCATACAAGCTCACGCCCTCACTCTCTATAAAATAAGCTTTAAAAAAGGAAAAAAATGTGAGGTCTGGAGAAGGCTGACTGCTCTCAGAGGAGAGCCCGAAACTAGGATTCTGTTGTTCCCCAGACTAAACCACCAACTCAGGGCAAACAGGACCTGCTGAGAATGCAGGCTTATCAGAGATAATAAAAGCAAAGCCCTGGGGTTTAAGTGGCACTATTTTAAACAAACATTTAACCCCGTGGAAGCCTGATTTCAACATTGTTTGCAGGAGTGGGGGGAAGGCCTGCAAGGCCTCCTTCCAGAGTCCAGAGCTGTGGTGGGTAAACTGGAAAACCACCCACCCAGAGGAGAGGGGTCCTCCCAGTGTAGCTGGCGGCCTGAGGGAGCCGGCTCTCCCCACACAAGGATGCAAAGGAATTCCGCCAGGCGGGGTGTCAGTGCAATTACCCATCTGTTTCTGGGCTGAGCACCGCAAGACGAGGGGCCCCAGGCGCAGCTGAGGCCTTTGGCAGACCCTGGAGGGATTGGGCTGGCCTGGGTTGTGGTTTGCGTGCCAACAGGTTCTGCCTGGAGAAATTTCAGCTCCTCTGGCTCACCTGTGTATCATCTCTGCTTAGGGCCCTGGCTCCTGCTGGGAGCCGGCTGGGTGGGCGGCCTCCAGCTCTCATTTCATGCTCACAATAACCCGTGAGGCCCCCAACTGCCACCCACATCCCTACTTCTCCTGTGTTTCCTGCTCACCTTTCCTCCTCACTCACTCCGCTCCAGCCACGCTAATCACCGGGCCTCCCCTAACTCACCGGCTCTGTCCTTGGTCTGGAGCCTTTGCACCAGCTATTCCCTCCGCCTGGAATATTTTCCTGCCAGATGCTGCTTGGCCCCCTCCCTCACTTCATGGTTCAGATGCTGCCACCTCAGGCTTACATTGGTCAACCCCCTTTTAAGTTGCTTCCCTCTCCCCAGACCTTTGCCAACAATCGCCAGATATCGCCAGATACACCTTACCTGGTGCTTCCCCCGCTCCCCCCTCCATAGTTTTTTTTTTTTTTTTTTAATACCAATTACTATCTCTTCTACTAGAAGGTAAGCTCCATGAAAATGGAATGTCTCTTTTTTTCCTCGCTGGTACCCAGTATTGGGCAACCCGTGAGTAGGGATGGAGACTCTCTTTCCCAGAACAGGAATACCTGGCTTCAAGTGACTAAAGGGCCCAGGTGGGCGCTGGGGGTGGGCGGAGCCAGAGTGTGGGCGTCAGGCCGCCCGCCGCCTGCGCGGCCCGCAGTGCTCCCTGCCTTTCCCTCTTTCCCAAGTTTTCACCGCGTACCTGGGACCAGGAGGCTGCTGGGTGGCCGAGAGCCAATACTTCGTGGCTAAAGGTGAGGCTTCAGTGACCGCCCTGAAATTGTAAGTCAAGGCGTGTGCCCGTGTTGAGCAAATCCAGCATGTAAAAATCTAACTTTGTATCAGCTTCTAATGGTTTCATTATCAAGGAACTTAACCAGCGCTGCTGCTTTTGTCTTCAAATCTTTACTTAGGGGTTTTCGAACGATTTCTGCCTTCTGTGATATGAGAACCATAGAAAATAAGGATATGCTATTTATGTAAGAATCACCTCTACCAGCGAATTTTCTAGAATCGCGTGCGGTCGCTGCTGGGGAAAGGTGGGCGGGCTCGCCGGGCCACGGAGCAGAGGCGCGGGCGGCAGGGCCGCCGGGGCGGGTTCGGTGGCTAGCTCCGGCTGTGAGGCCCGGCTTCCCCGCTTCTTCCCGCCGGCCGGCGCTGCAAAGCGGCCACGCTCCTGGGAAGCCGGAGCAGCGGCCGTAGGGCGGTGCCAAAGACCGGCGGCGTAGGTCGCCCCGCCCCGTTCCCAGGGCGCCCGCGCGCTACCGGCGAGCTCCGAGTGGCCACGCCTCCCCAGGGGGTATTTCGGCCGGCGACGCGGGTCGCATCTTCTACGCGGTGCTGGCCTCACCCGCTGCTGCGGACAGTGCGTGGCGGAGGACCTGGGGCGGAGGGGCTCGGGAAAGGTGCTGGTATTTAGTGAGAACCATCCGAGTCGTTTCCCAGCATCGGGTTACTTAATCTCGCACTCCTTTGCGTAAAACCGTATAGTGAGGTAGGCATTAGTGTCCCAATTTCTCACAGGGAAACTGAGGTTCAGAGATGTGGCAACGGTCTGGGAGGAGGAAGGGCTGGGGTTGGAAACCAGGTCGCTCTTTCCGCCCGGCGGCCCTTGGCCGGCCGACGTGCCTCGGCGCCGTGGGCCTAACGCGGCAGCAGCTTGCGAAGGGCCGTGCCGGGCGCGTTGGGGAGCTGGTCGGGGATCATCGTGGCGCTGTGTTCGGCCCGCAGCGCCAGGAGCGGGCACGCGGCGCGCAGGCGGCGCAGGCCGGCCGCGCTCACGTTGCGGCAAAAGTCCACGTGCAGGGTCTGGAGCGCGCGCCCGTGCGCCGCCACAGCAACAAGCGTGCGGTTGGTGACGCGCGCGCAGTTCTCCAGGCGCAGCGAGCGCAAGTGCTGGCAGCAGCGCAGCAGGCGCACGAGGCAGTCGTCCGTGACGTGGCCGCAGCCTGAAAGCGTGACGGAAGCCAGGTTGGGGCACCTGCGGAGAGATGGTAGTGACCCAGGTCGGGCCCCGCGGGGTTGCGGTTTGCGTCCGCCCCGGACCCCGCCGGCTCCTGGATGGAGCTCCCAGGCCAGGTTGCCTCCTAACAGCCCGGGAACTCTCCGCATATTGTGGGCACGGAAACAGGGAAAGGGGCTCAACGAGTGTAAAGGACTTGCCTGCGATGACGCGGCCAGGATCAAAACCAAGGCCTCTCTCCCATTTCCCCTACTCTTCCTGCTTCTCCATCTGCATGGCTCTCAGCCTTATGAGCCTCCCCTGGTCCTGCTACGGGCAGAGGGGATGCAGGATCCAGAAGGACAACTCAAGTTCTTTGATTCTCTCCGGACTTGTTGCTTTGGGGTGGGGGTGAGAGAAGAGATGCGTGGTGACCACTCCTGTCTGGCTTAAAGCTTAGGCCCTGATGCTCCTGGCCGGCTAGTCAGGTGGGAGCAAGCGTATCCTGTAGGGTGGCTTAGAGATAGGCACGTTCAACCCGTGAAGCTGGGGTCGGGACCCGCTTCCGGTTATGCCTGGCTCTGGGTTCTAGAGCCTTGGTTTCAGCTCAGTTAACTGGGGCTGTTAGTGCATGCTCGCTGGGATGCCAGCCTAGAAACGGTCAGGAACCGGAGTGAAGTGGGTGTAGTCTGGCCCACTTCTACACAGTTTGGAGGCTCCTCCGCCCCAAGCTAACCAGCACCTGCTACTGAGAAAGATCTTGAGCAAAAGTTAGGTTTGACTTCTTTGCAGAGTGACCTTTGCTAACTCACTCACTGAGCTTTAGTTTCTTAGGGGAGGTGGGGGGGGGGGCAGGCGCCGCAGAGAGGGAATAATGCCTCCCAGTGGGGTTGTAGTGAAGATTGAGATTGGGGGTGTAAGGAGCCTTACTTACACAGGGCCTGGCTCCCTTGTGCCTGGGGAAGAGGGTAAGGAACTAAAACAGACTGGGCACAGCCACATTACCCGCACTGTGCCCATTCCATCTTCCCAAGTTCACAGGGCTTCTTTAGTCTTCATATGCAGTCCTCTGTCTGCACGCTGTTCTGTGAATGAGGGCGCAGGAAACTTGCCTGCAACTTTTTGCTGAGGACAAATGTCTAAACTGTGCTAGTCCTCCTGATCTGTCAGGTGGGAGAAATTATTAGCCCCAGGATGGCTATGATGATGTGTTTAAGCCACTAAGATGTTAAGTGGTCTCTTTTGTCCTGAGAACCTTTAGAATAATCTTGATGTAGGAACAAAACAGAAAGGGGACTCCTTCCCTGCAGTCCTTCTCTATTCTCCCATCTCTCACTGCGCAGAGCCGATTGCTAAAAGAACCGGATTGGGCAGATATTAGTACCTACAGTGCCAGTGCTGCTGTGTCATTTAATCCTCTCAGCCTTTGAGAAAGGTGATTTATCCCATTTTAAAGATCAAGAAAGTAGGTTGAAAGAATTTAAATGTTTGGGCTGGGGTCCCATAAGTCGGACAGTAGCAGAGCTGGAAGACCCCGCACAGAACCCTGACCACGAAGCCCTTTGTTCTTTTTGTGTCCCTGGGGCCCCTTGTTGCACCCACTTGGTGCCAAGGGGTGACCACTCCATACAAGGGGTGACCACTCCATACCTTGCTGGTTTGGGAAATAAAACCTGGTTCTCTTATAGCCAGAAAGGAACAACTTCGGAGCAGGCTTGCCTCTCCCTTGTCTGTCAGTCCAGTCTGCCTTCTGGGCCTTGTTAAACCCATCAACATGCCCTCATCCCAGCAGGGCCTCACCAGGATTGCCTTTTTTTCTCCTGCCTTTAAAAAAGGTGGGGTGGGGGGAGGGGGAAGCAAGGCGGGGCCACCACACTGTTTCCTTCCATCCTGCCATGCCGCCAGCAAACAGCAACTACTAACCCTGGGTGGCAGCAAACTGGTGGAGCCTAGTGTGTTACTAACCAAGAGTGTTCTTCCTCAAAGGCAGGACAAGACTGGTGAAGTCAGGCTCAGCGAGAGGCTGGCACCAGAAGTCCAGCTTGTGAGGGTGAGACCACGGAGGGTCGCCTGTGCCTCAGCCTGTACCCATGGGAGGGTGGACCGATCAAGTACAAGATGTATTGGGGACATAACTTACACTAGAAGATTAAGGGCAGCCTGGGTGGCTCAGTAGCTGAGCATCCAGCTGGCTCAGGTCATGATCTCACAGTTCATAGGTTCACGAGTTCGAGCCCCATGTTGGGCTCTGTGCTGACAGTTCAGAACCTGGATTCAGATTCTGTGTCTCCCTCTCTGCCGTGTCTCTCTCAAAAAATGAGTAAATGTTAAAAAAAAATTTTCATCTAAAATTCAAATTTAACTCAATGTCTTGAATTTTTATTTTTTAAAATCCAGTAATCCTAGACTGTGGGCAAATCACATGACCTCTCAGAGCTTAGATTTGCTCATTTGAAAAATTAGGCCAAAACACCCTTCCCTAGAGGTACAGTGAGATTAGTAAATTTCTAATAAGGAAACCATTCTTAAATATCACCACCCCTCCTCGGAGTCTGGCTTGGCTCAGCTAACCCAGAGCACAATCGCTCTCCTTCCTTAGTTGCATTTCACAAGCCTTGAAGTTGGTCTGCTAGGGGGAGAGTGGAGGCGTAAGCTAATAGCTGAATCTAAGAACCTTTCCCAGGGCCTGACCTTGAAAATCCAGGCCCAGCCGGACCTCCTGAGGTCTTAATGGCAGCCAGGGAGGACAGCTGCCCGAAGGACAGCGACAGCTGAAGCCCATTCTTCCTCTTTGTGGCAGAAGCAGCTCCAGGACCTGTGAGGCTGAGGAGGAGAACCCCCCCCCCCCATGGCTGTACGCATCCTCTGGGGACTGTGCTGTGGCCGGGCCTGGACAGTCTGCCTTGCGCCTAGAGTCTCCCCAAAGTGGAGCCATCTTGGTCTTGTAGTTTGCTCTTCCTTGCCCCCCAGAAGTCTCCTAGAGCTCTAGAAGCCAGAGCCCCCCAAAGCCAGCGCTGCTCAGGAGGCGGCCTACCTGTCGCACACCTGGAAGAGGAAGTCATTGACCAGGCTCTCATGCCGGCTGCAGATGCTCCTCTGGAAGGCGCTCTTGAGCCAGTCCTCGATGCTGCACACCTGCACGCGGCTAGAGTACCAGCAGATGGAGAGGCTCCTGAGGGCCGGGCTCAGGAGGAAGTTGTCCTTCTTGAGTTCTACCAGGGAGTGAAAGTGCAGCAGAGGCCAGAGTGTGGGGTCCTCGAACACGTCCTGGAGCTGGGGGCAGGTCCTGGCAAGGTTCTTCCTGCTGTCCTTGTCCAGGAAAGAGAAGAGGTGCAGCAGGCACTCCCGGTTGAGCTGGATGAGGTGCATGGCGTGCAGCAGCCACAGAGTGTGGCCGGAGCCCGGGGACCTGCCCTACCTCCTGCCCCTCCTCCCCTGCTCTGGGCTGGTGGACATATATGGTTGAGGAATGGTGTTTATTTTTGGCCAACAACTGGTGCTGAAGCTCTGAGAACGGGGCGGGGAAGCCAGGATCCAGACATACGTGTGGCAGTCTGTGGTTCGGCTTAGGTTCAGAGGAATTGAAAAGCCTGGCAGAAAAGCAGCCTATTGAAGTTAAATAGCTTCCTTAAAAGGGATTTCTTTCTCTTTTAGCTGACAGTGGTGCTTAGCAGAGAGCACTTTTGGCCCTCCCCGAGGCATTTTCATTGGCGGTGGACGGCCAGGCCACCTGTCTAGGCCTGCAGTCTCTGCTCACTGGGAGGGACCCTAATTATAAATTGTATGTTTTCATTTCTAGTATATCACCGAGTC